TTTTTTTTTTTTTTTTTAAAGATTTTTATTTATTTTTTAGAGAGCGAGAGAGAAACAGCATGAGAGGGGCAAGGGTCAGAGGGAGAAGCAGGCTCCCCGCTGAGCCGGGAGCCCGATGTGGGACTCGATCCCAGGACCCTGGGATCATGACCTGAGCCGAAGGCAGACACTTAACCATCTGAGCCACCCAGGCGCCCAAGAACTTTTTCTTAAATGTTTGTTTCCCTTGGATGACTAAAGAGGGAGCAGAGTTTTGGTCAATCCTCTGTTGTATTTCCAGTTTGCCAGAATTGTTAAGAGATAGAATGTCTTGTCCCATCGTTCCTCAGTATGGACTTTCTCACGCAGCCTTTGTTAAAACATGGGAAGTGTTAAGTGCTGTGCTGTGAATCGTACAAACAGGATGAGTTGAGATTGACTTTGTTGTAGAGATGTTTACTCAACCATTGGTCCATCTCACTAAAGGCCGGATTCTTTCCCTATCTCTTTGTTTATTTATTTAGTCTAGTAACTTTTATTTTTCTTTCCACTGGGGAGGGAAAAATTGTTTTGCAATCCCAATTATAAAGATATAGTCTTCATATTTGATGGTCCACACAAGAAATATGGTGCTAGAAGTAAATGAATGTTAGTTAATAATCAGCATGATCACCCTATGTGTCACTTTAGCACTTGTAGTTTTTGCCCTAGTTCTCCCTTTGATTTTCTTTTTTAAAGATTTTATTTATTTATTTATTTGAGAGAGAGAGAGATAGCGAGAGAGAGAATGAGCGGGAAGGAAAGTGAGAAGCAGACTCCCGCCGAGCAGGGAGCCCTATGCAGGGCTTGATCCCAGGACCCTGGGATCATGACCTGAGCCGAAGGCAGACGCCCAACCAACTGAGCCACCCAGGTGCCCCCTCCCTTTGATTTTTTTAAAATTTGCCTTTACTTGTTAAAATGTTAAAAGTATATTCTAAAGAGTAACAATCAGAGTAATAACACAGATTCTAAAAACAAGATGCAGTACAGTGGTATTAATAATATTAATGGTAGCGGGCGCCTGGGTGGCTCAGTTGGTTAAGCGACTGCCTTCGGCTCAGGTCATGATCCTGGAGTCCCGGGATCGAGTCCCACATCAGGCTCCCTGCTCAGCGGGGAGTCTGCTTCTCCCTCTCACCCTCCTCCCTCTCATGCTCTCTGTTTCTCATTCTCTCTCTCGCAAATAAATAAAAATCTTAAATAATAATAATAATAATAATAATAATGGTAGCTTGCGATTAGGAAGGGCCAGGAGTTATGTTTTAAGTTTTGTGGTCATTATTTATCCCCCTGCCCCAACACACACACACATACACACACACACACACACATACACACACACACGCATACACATGGACTCATTCACTTGCAAACTCCATACTTTGAAGAATATTTCACAGGTGAGCAACTGAGTCTTGGAGATGTTAAGACTTGCCCAAGACCAAAGAGCCAGAAAGCAGTGGATCCAGGAGTGTGGCTCTTCAGTGGCCTTTCTTTTGCAGTTCACAGGGACCCACTGAAGCACTATGCTCCTGCATGTTGGTGGAGGGACCTTGTCTTTTTTTTTTTTTTTTAAAGATTTTTATTTATTTATTGAGAAAGATAGTGATAGAGAGCATGAGAGGGGGAGAGTCAGAGGGAGAAGCAGACTCCCTGCCGAGCAGGGAGCCCGATGCGGGACTCGATCCAGGGACTCCAGGATCATGACCTGAGCCGAAGGCAGCCGCTTAACCAACTGAGCCACCCAGGCGCCCCGAGGGATCTTGTCTTATTCATCTTTGTACCCAACTCCTAGCACAGAACAGAATGGAACAAGGGGGTGATGCAACTAGTACTGTATTTTAGGAAGAGAAATCTGGCAAGGATGAGTGGGATGAAAAGAACAGGAAAAGCTGGTGGCATGGAGAGCAGTTGAGATGTTATTTTAATAATAAAGACCATTAACAAGATTAGGCGTGAGGGAGAAGCACTGAGAATGGAAGGGAAGCAGAGCATGTGGAAGAGATTTAGCTTGGAGGAGGCCATGTGGCTTGATGAGCGTGCATAGGCAGTGAGGAGTACCAGGTCTTTGGATAAGTATCCAATCATAGAGCAAATATTTCTTGAGCATCGCCTTTGTACCAGGAACTATTCTAGAGGCTGGGGATACAACAGTGATTAGGCAAATGAGGATTTTGCTCTCATGGACCTTATATTCTCATTGGAGGATATATTGGTCAGTGTTCTCCAAAGAATCCCACTGTATCCCACCATATTATATATCATATGTATGCTGTATCGGATTAGACTGGCAATTGGAACAGGAGAGTAGCAACCTGCATGTGTCATCATGTTCCCAGATGATCGTCTGGAATGCCTGCAGATTTATTCCATATATATACACATGAGAGAGTTTTCAAGGCATTGATTTCTCAAGAAATTGGCTACGTGATTATAGGGCTGGCAAGTCAGGAATCTGTAGGGCAGGCCTACAGGCTAGGAACTCGAGCAGAATCTGATGCTGCCGACTGGAGGCAGAATTTCTGCCTCAGTTTTGTTCTTATGGCCTTTACCTGATTGGATAAGGCCCACCTAGATTGTTTAGAATAATCTTTATTTAAAGTTTAAAGTCAGCTGATTGTAGATGTTAACCAGATCTATGACATTCCCCTAGATTAGGGTTTGATTGAATGCCTGGGCTCTATAGCCTAGCCAAGGTGACCCACAAAATTTACCATCACAGAGACGTCAGAATGACCAGTGCATAGAGAGGAATACCCGGGGTGTTTGAGAACAATTACCAGCTTTTGTGGCTTGGAGACTCTGAGGAGACCTCTCTGCATGAGTAGGTGTATCTCCAGCTTACAAATGGGGTACCTGAAGCTTGGGGATAGTAAGAGACTTACTGAAGCTCAGACAGCTGCTGACTGGCCCTCCCTGACGCCAGCACGTGTGCAGGAGACCCAGCAGAGGCTGCCTCCCCAGAGCAGTCAGAAGGATCGTGATGTTCAACATTTTTCCCGGAAGGAACGCCATTTGGTGAGCAAGTTCGGATTCAGAGCTTGCTCCCTGAATGCAGAGCCTGAACGTAGGGAGGTCCATACTGCTTTGGGGGAGGGGGTTCATTCCACTTTGGTCCCTCCCTCACTTCTGCCAGTGCCCAGCTTAGGGCTCTGGTGCCAGTCGATCATTCTGCCCAGAACACCCTCCTTCTTCTCCCCTCCCCTTCATGCGGATAACAAATGTCCATCCATGTGGCCCTCGAGTGTTCGCTTTGGCACTTGATCAGAAAGATCTTCCCTGAGTACTGCAACGAGATGATGAATCTTCCAGTTAGAAGCCTCCCCAAACTCCGTGTTCTTCTAATGTGGTACTTAGCACTGTTGTCATTAAGTCGTTTATTTCTGTTATTTTATTAACATCTGCTCCTCCTGTTGCACTCCCGAAGGGAAGGAGCCAAATCACTACCATGCTGATTCCCAGTGTTGAGCCTGATCCTTGGCGTTGATTACTTGTTGGATGAATGTATGGAGAGAGGAATGAGTGAGTGTGATATGTAGCTTCCAAGGAATAAATCTGCAGGCATTCCAGACGATCATCTGGGAACATGATGACACATGCAGGTTGCTACTCTCCTGTTCCAATTGCCAGTCTAATCCGATACAGCATACATACAGCTAACCCCAGCCTCAGCACGTGGGTTTCTCCCCAATTTCCATTTAAAAGCTGGCCCTTGGGCACCTGGGTGGCTCAGTCGTTAAGCGTCTGCCTT